CTGCAGCTGCTGGCACGGCAATCTCACCGTGCCCTGGCTGAGGGCAGCACTTCCTTCTGTGGCAAAATGGCTCACCCTGAGGCACTGCTTCCTTCTCCCCATCCCACCCCCCTGCAGGGGTCCAGCCTGTCCTCTGTGCGGGCTGGTGGCTCCCTTCAGACACAGGTACCCCCATCTGAGCCCTTCACTTCAGTGTCTCTGCTCAGAGAGGGGCAGAGGTGCTCAGGGACGAGCACCCCACAGGATTTCTCGGGCTCCCAGGGGCACTGGAGGGGATCCCCCACAAAAGTACAGACAAAAGGACGAGGTTCTGGCCAACCCTTTGCTTGCAAATGAGACCAAGGGCCAGCCCTGCCCAAATAAGGCCTTTGCAGGAGGGCAGGTTGTGGCTGGGGGGGTTTCTCTGCTTTGTTTGTTCCCCTTTTTGAGAACCACCACTTGAAAAAAAAAAAGCTCCAGGCAGAGCAGCCCTTGCTCTCCACAACAGCAAACATCAGCCTTGCTCCCCCTGCAGAGCTGCAGCACCTCTTGCTTCCCACTGATTTCAGGCTCCCTCCACAGCAGGAGCTGCTGCTCCACAGGGGGGTTGTTGCTCTGCAGCAGGTCCCATAAAATAACTTCATACAGAAGTTTGGAGTGTGAAGCTCCCACATTCCTGAGTGTGAAGCTCCCATGTTCCATCACGCCTGTGCTGGAGGGGTCTCAGGTCATCTTCACCCAGTGCCTCCAGGGCAGCAGCTGAAATCTCTGCTGGGACACCCCCCTGGTCTGCCGTGGGGCACCATTCCCACTTGGGAAGCGTGTGGATGTGACAGCAGCTGTCTCTCCTCAGGCTGCAGTCCTTCACACCATCTCCTTCCTGTTTATGAAACCCTGATCCTTCCCTCCCAGTGCTCAGTGGGCTGTAACTGGATCCTGGGCAGGAGGCAAAGGCAATCCCTGGTTATTCTGATTCAAATCTGTAGGGCTTGTGAGTGTCCTGTTTTATGGAGCTGCTGTCGGGAAGGTGGAGGATGCTGGAGGTTTGTCCTGCATGGAATTGGATTACAGGATTGGGAAGCATTTGTGTGTGGCAGCACTGGGTTTGGGGATTGCCTTTCCTAGTGCTGAGGTGCCAGTGGCAGCAGGTCCATGCAGAATTTACAGCTGGGTCTTGGCTTCAGTGCCAGTGCCCAACCCACCACCCCTCAGGCAGTGTCTCCTCTTTTCCACGGGAAGGGGGGAAAAAGGGGGGGATGTTTTTGAGCTAAAAGAGGGGAGATTTAGATTAGATACAAGGAAGAAGTCCTTCCCTGTGAGGGTGGTGAGGTCCTGGCACAGGTTGCCCAGAGAAGCTGTGGCTGCCCCATCCCTGGAAGTGTCCAAGGCCAGGTTGGAGCAACCTGGGCTAGTGGAAGGTGTCCCTGCCCATGGCAGGGGGTGGAACGAGATGGGCTTTAAGGTCCCTTCCAGCTCAGCCTATCCTATAACTCAGTGATTCCCTGCCCCATCTCAGGGGTTATCTGCTGTATCAGGTCCTTGGGACGCTGCTTTGGGGCCCCACGTGAGGTTTGCACACCCACATCTCATGGGAGGGTTGCACAACCCTGTCTGCTGGCTCAGGGGACAGACCCTGCACCGAGACACTGCTCTGTGCTCTGCTGCTACACAGGCAGGGGTACCTTAATAGGGACAGAGATGGGAACTGGCCAAGTCAGGCAGTGCAGACATGGGGAGCAGAGAGGGAAGAAGGGCTTCAGCCCCGTGGTTCTGGATCAGTTCTCTCCCAGCTTCCATGTAAGCAAGGAAAACAGGGAGCCACATGTGCACTCCCAGTTCCCTCAGGAAACCAGCCACATTCAGCTGTGGCTTTTAGCACCTTCAGTGTAACAGACTTCTTCCCTGTGTCTAATCTAGATCTCCCCTCTTTTAGCACAAAACCATTTCCCCTTGTCCTGTCACAACAGGCCCTGCTAAAAACTCTGCCCCCATCTTTCTTGGAGCCCCTTTAGGCACTGGAGGGGGTTCTAAGGTCTCCCTGGAGCCTTCTCTTCTCCAAGCTGAACATTCCCAGCTCTCCCAGCCTGTCTCCAGAGCAGAGGGGCTCCAGCCCTTGAAGCATCTCCATGGCCTTCTCTGGTTCTGCTCCAGCAGGTCCATGTCCTTGCTGTGCTGATCCAGAAGCTGCTGCCTCCTCTTGGCCTCTTCTTTGGAGAGCTGCAATTCCACTGATCCTACAGGGAGAGCATCCCTGCTGGACTCAGCTGTTGCACTGCTCAGAGAAGGGGCAGGGAAATTTTGAGGAAGGAAACTACAGAGACTCTCAGCTGCTTGTTGCTGCCTCGTGTAGTGCCTGAAGTCGCCCTTTTTTTCCCCTTTTTTTCCTGTGTGTGACACGGGGGACTGGCCTGACCCTCCTGAAAAGGCAGCTGAGATTTGCTGATGGCTCTTTCCACGCCTAAGCACCCCTAAAGCCTGTCCAGTGTTCTGGTTTGGCCGCCTCATTGTGCAGCCGTCGCCGCACAAAGCGATTTCCCCACACGAAACTGCGGTTTCCTTTCAGCAAAAGCTCCCAAAATACATCCCAGTGACATAACTACGGGGTTCTCGTGCCGCTCTGGGCACTGCTCCGGGCTCCAAGCTCGGGATCCAGCTTGGAAAGGATGGGAGAATAACAGCCTGAAGCTTTGGAGATGCTGAGGCTCCTCTTCCGCAGCAAGCCAAGGATCCAGGAGGCAAGTGTCTGATAAAATATCTGCTCTGTCTCTTCTGCAGGACACAAGAAATCAGGGAATCGCCCGATTTTGAGAGCCACACCTTATCCAGGGTTAATTTACAACTTCTCTTTTGGAAAAAAAAAGGCATTTGGGAGGGTACAACTGCTTTCTAAGAAGTGTCTTTCCTAGGTGCTGCCAGATTTTGGGAGTGTTTTGGGACCCAGAGCATGTGTTGAAGCAACAGAAATTAAAACAGCTTCTGGTTAGTTGTTGATGAATAGGAAGGGAAATGCCAAGAGCAGAATCTGTTTCGAGCTTTTGCAGGGTGGTTTGTGTGTTTTTTTTTTCTTCTTCCTTGCATTTAGATGTGACGGTCTCAACCAGCAAAGTGACAAAATGCGAGCAAAAACAAAACCTGTCTCTTGGCTTCTGGCTTGTAAAATCCTCCCTCAAAAAAAAAAAAAAAGGGGGGGGGGGGAAGAAAGTGGGAAAGAGGACTCGTATTTTGAACTTGGAAAAAAACAAAAAACAAACCCTCAGTATGACCCCAGGCCCTGATCTGAGGTGGCTCAGCCATCTGTGAAGGCAGCATTGGGAAGTTTGGAAAAGTTGTCTCCTCCTCTGACTTGAGGGAACCTCTCGGGCTCAGCCCTGGCTGGTGGCTGGGGGTGTCCTTCTATTTTCCAGGAGCAGCAAATACCACTTCCCAGCAGTGCAGGGATCTGTGTAAATGCCCCTCTGGGGGCTGTGGGTGATGGAAGGTGGTTGGGAGCTCCCAGGAGCAGCGTGTGCTGGTGGGATGGACCTGCAGAGACATCCGTGCTTGTGCGAATGAAATCCATCCCAGGCAGGGTCTGGTGCCTGCTCTGAAGGAGCCAGGAAGGAGCTGGTTTCCTGGTGGGTGGGTGAGATCCCCGGGGAGGGGGTTTTGCTGAGGTTTTTGTGATCACTTTTCACTCAGGAAGGGGTTCAGCTGGGGTTTTGGTGGATGTGTCAGCCAGCTGCCCTGGCATCCCCTTCCTGCAGTGACAGCAGCAGGACAGCCACCTTCTCCCAGTCCCAAAGAGATCCTGCCTGCTCCTGCAGCAAGGGCAGAGCAGTGGAGAGGAGGAAGAAGAGGTGACTGCAGGGGCCCCTCTGATCTGGAGCTGAAAATCAGTTAATTCCTAGCTCTAATCTCACTGTTCTCATGCGGCTCCTCCTGTTCCTCAAGGCTTGCTTTTCCTTCTCTTCTCCCTCTCTGTAGCTCCTGTCCCACTTCCAGGTCACTCTGTGCCCACCCAGTTGTCACTGCTGGCACTGTGGGCTCCATCCTGCTCTCACACTTCCTGAGAAAACACCAGAGAAGTCACAGCTCGAGCCCCCCTTTGCTCCCTGCAGTCACATGTTTTATCTCACCCACGGCCAAAGACTTGAACCTCTCGGAGGAAATCCTCTGATTTGAGGGGTTTTGGGGGGTGATTTTTCTATTCAAACTTGGCTCGTGATCTAAAAACCAGGAGAAAGAGTACCCAGATGAGATTGCAAGTCTCTGTACCTTCATCAGGTACACCAGGCTTGGGGACCGACCTTGCAAAAACTTACTGACCTTGCAAAAACTTACTCCTTCCCTTAAGTCTGAGTTTACTGGAGGAGAAGGAGCCATTTCCTAGCTGAGAAGCAGTTCTTTTCTGAGCTCCCCTTAAATGCTTCTGCATCTCTCCCTACGAGGGTTCACAGACTCACATCTGGCCCCAGAGGCAGCATAAACTGACATTTCTGATGCTGCTGGGGACCTGTCAGAGCAGCTGGGCTGGCCCTGCCCTGCCCTCAAGGGATGTGGGGAGCTCTGGTATTTGAGTATGTTCCTTCTGGTTGCTTTAGAAACTGCTGAGTGTGCCCAGGAGAGAAGCCCAGTCTTTGCCATGGGGGTGCCAAGCTTCTCTGCAGACCCAGGACAGATGCTTTTGGAGCTTGTCCAGGTGTAGCAGAGAGTAAAATCTGATCTAGACATTAATCAACCTGCCAGAAATTAATTCTCTCTCCTTGGTGCTCTGATTCTTGGGGGACATGTGTAACCAGCACCGTGTCCTGAGCTCTCTGTCAGAGTTTATCAAAGCTGGTCAATATAAATTTATGTAACAAGAGCTGGCTCCAGCTGCTCTCCTGGAGCCACCACACAGCTCAGAATCACATCCTGAGGAGCAGTGGCTGAGGACCAGTGACTGTGAACAGCTCGCCTGGTCTTGCTGAACAAGTCAGTTGGGAAAAGTTTAACAGAATATCACAGCCCCTCTGTGCTGATGCTTGTCTGTCGTTCCACAGGTAAAATCCGACATCACCTGGATAGAGAAAGACCTTGTGGACTCAGCAGACAAGGTAAGAGAGCCCCGTTGCAGTGGGACTCATCCTTTCATTTGCATTTTGCCCCGTGACGGGTCGTCCCACGTCAGGGACCTCTCTGAAAACAAAACCCTTTCCTGCCACCCGCCCCTGAGAGCTGAGAGCTCTGTGGGACTGCTGGTGCAGAGAACAGCTATGGCTCACGTGACATCCTGGACTTGGCTTCATCCTCCTCCTCCTTCCTCCCCACACCAGCCCCCTTTCCGCGCTGTCGTTTGCGTCTCCTGTGGTTTTCTGATCTCGTCGCCCTGCTGGGGTGGGCACTTTTAGTTGTGTGGACACAGCAGGGGGGGGGGATTTTATTGTCTTTTTCTGAGGCTCCTCTCCCCACGCTGGTAACACAACGTGGAAGATTGCCTTGGCTGGGACAGGATTTATCAGGAGCCGGCTGCTCTCCCACACGGCTCCACTGAGCAGCGTGAGGCTTCCCTGGGAGTGGTGAGGCTTGTCCACGCTGTGGACACGGTTTCTCCTTCCCTAGACTGCGGCAGGGTGAGGGAGGTTTGAGTTTTTTGGGGCTCCAGCAGCTGCATGGTGCTGTTCCCAGCTCCTTGGGCCTCACCAGCCACCGAGGTTCTCCCCGTGGAGCCGGGACCAGCTGCCTGGCTGGTATTAAGTCATTTGGGTCTTTCACTATCGGTTCTCAAAAAGCACGTTCTGGGGGTGGAGGAGGCAAGACAGTCATAATTTGTCTCTCTGGTCCAAACCAAGATCCCCTTTTCATCCCCTGTGCTCTCTGGAGTAATTCAGAAATAACGCTGACACGGGGCTATTTCCAATTGCAAAGGTGCGTGGGCGTATTTTGACTCATTTTGAGGGGTTTCTTTCTTACCTGCACACCCCAGGGTCTTGCTGTGGAAAACATCTGTCTGCCCTGATGGAAAGGTCAAAGGGGAACAGTCTTGGAGGGGGAAGGAGGCAAAACAAGCCCTCTAAAACCTCTGCTCTGTCCTGCCAATAATCCAAGCCACAGTGGGGTCGGAACCTCTGCATCAGAAATGCCCTTAAAAACACCTCACATGGACCTTCCCAGGCTGTTCTTAGATAATTCCAGCATCCACAGCAAGAAGTCTTGTGCAGCATTATGCAAGTGAAGGACTGAATTCAAATCCCAGTGATGGCCATGGGTTTGATTCACCCTGAATCCCATCATCCCTGTGCCCGTGTGAGAGCAGAGACATGTGCAGCTCTCCGAGGTGGTGTCACACTTCTCTGTGGGTTCTCAAGAGCTTTCCTCTTCCTTTTTAAAGACAAAAGTGGCTTCTCAGAATTTTGCCCTGTTGTGGAAATACCTCAAAGCTCACAGC